AAACATCTTTGTTACCTAAGTTTTTACTAACTTTGTATTTCATTTATTTAATTTATACTAATGATAGCAATTGTGTTTTATATTTTGGAGTAATCTGCTTAGCAACTTGACTACGTAAAAGCCATTTGAGCTAACAGTACAATTCTCAAGCTTTCTGGATTGCAAAGCTCTATTGTTTCTTGACTTCCACATATTATCCTTTTTTTTTTCTAGTGGAACAACATTAATAGATTAGAGCAAAAGAGTCCTAACAACTCAACTTCTATTTTGCTTCTGTTGTGGCCATCACTGATAACAGGTGGTTCCTAGGCTATAAAAAGTTGAACAAATAGTGTTAATAGGACTTTGAAATCAATCACAGTTGTTGGATTTGTATGTGTGTTTGTGTGGTTTATGTGTAAGGAAGTCAAAATATAGCCTACTCAAAAAATTCAATAAAATTTTTAAATGCCTAATATAAGCTGGATAGGATTTAGGTCCTGGGGCTATAAGTACAAAGCAATGGGTGCATCTCAGGGAACTTACATTCTTATGGTTGGAGATGGATAACAAAGAGTGTGACAAGAAGTCGGGTATGTGTGCTATTTTATGGTAGGATAGTGAGAGAAGGCTTCTGTAACGAGTGACATTTGAACAGAGACTTGAAGGAAATGAGCAAGCTTAGTGCATATCTGGGGGAGAGCTTTCTGGGTGGAGGAATCTTGGTACAAAGACCTTGAAAGAGGAGGTGGCTTAGGATTTGAAGGAATATCAAGGAGACCAGTGAGAGTGAAGTGGAATGGATGAGGCGGGGAGGGAAAGGAGATGAAGTTGGAAAGTTAGCTGGGTGGTCTTTTTGGCCATGCTAAAAACTCTGATTTTTTTTTTTTTATCTTGGTGAAATGGGAAACCAATGGAGGGATTGGGATTGAGTAAAGGAATGATATAAACATTTAAAATATATATATTTTTATTGATTGCAGAAAGGAAGAGAGAGGGAGAGAGAGATAGAAACACCAATGATGAGAGAGAATCATTGATTGGCTGCCTCCTGCATGCCCTATACTGGGGATCGAGCCACAACCCAGGCATGTGCCCTGACTGGGAATTGAACCATGACTTCCTGGTTCATAAGTCAACACTCTACCACTGAGTCACGCCAGCCGGGCTGATGTGAACTTTTTAACAGGATCACTGTGACTGCTGTATGGGGATAGTGTTAGGCTGAGTTCCCAGCAGTAGAGCCTGAGAGGGAGATGTGTGTGTGCTTTATGGATAAAATGGGGGAGAGTAAAAGAAGCAGGTAGAAGAGGAGAATGGCAAAAATTCATCCTGATCTCATGGGAAGCTCTGGAGCATAAATTACACTGTAGAGTTTTTTTCCCCACTTGAGATGAGGGAGAGGGGCTTTTTACCTTCACCCTGGTTATTGGATGAAGTCTCTCAGGGAAAGGGATGGATGGTGTAAATCCCAGGCCTTTCCAGGTGTAGTGGTTTCCATTGCCCAAGTGCAATTATCACTGACCACTTACAGCAGCTGGGCAAGGGGCTCACCAACCAATTGATAAAAGGGTTTTCAGAGGGTCTGATTGAGTGAGCCAATAGCATCTTCTCCATGGAATAAGGGTGAAAGTAGAGACACCAATTAGGAGGAAAGTGCAATAATCCAGAAGAAAGATGAAGGTGGCTTGGATTAGAATGTAGTGATCGAGGGGTTGAGAAGTATTGTTGGATTCTGGATAAATTGGGGGAGGGACAAGGCCCATAAGATTTGCTAATGGATTGCTTATCTACACTAATACAAGAGAAACATGCAAATTAACCATCACCCCGTCACTCCGCTACACCCACCAGCCCATCAGAGCAGCTATGCAAATTAACCCAACAAAGGTGGCGGTTAATTTGCATACACAGGCATGGAGGGAAGATGACTGAAGATGGCGGTGGCCACGAAGCTGGAGCAAGCAGGAGGCTTAGGTTGCTCCCGGCAATGGAGGAAGCCAAGCTTCCTGCCGGCCTTGGACTCTGCTCAAGGAGGGGCAGGGGGCCTGGGCTCCACTTAAGGAGCTGGAAAAAAAAAAAAAGAGGGGTTGGGAGCAGCCGGAGGGGAGAAGCCAAGCCTCACTACTGCGGCCAGACCAAAGGCCTGGGTCCCAGGTGCTGGAGGAGAACTGGTGCCAGCAGCCAGGGGAAGGAAGGCCTATTGCATGAATCTTCGTGCAACGGGCCACTAGTAGAATATAAGAGGAGAAGAGTCAAAGGTGACTTCAAGGTTTGTGACCTAGCCATTTATTGAGATGGGGAAGACTGTGAGAGGAGCAGGTTTTGGAATGGGGTGAAAAGTAGAAGCTTCATTGGAAACATTAAATTGCAAATGCCTCGTAGATGTCTGAATGAAGATGTAAAGGAGGCAATTGGATGTAAGAGTCTGAAGTTGTGAAAATACGTTCCATTTCCTAAGTTCAGATAACCAACTGCTCATGATACTAAAAGAATGTGCATATGTCTTTAGATAGCACTGTTGGAAACTTTTGTTTGAGAGTGGATGTGGAGTGAGAAAGCCATAACTAGTTCCAAACAACCTCAAAAAGGGCAAAAGATACATATTGGAGACCATAGATCGGCAGCCTTGATGACAACTTCAGCCACCATTTCTAAAATAGAGCATTAAAAAGATGAGCTTTCATATATTTACCAAAAGTTGTAATAATTTAGAGGTAACATGGATTCCCAAAGAACAAGTTGGACCTTACTAGCTTCATTTCTATTTTTGAAAGCATTCTAGGCACAGAGGTTTAGGAAATTCTGTCTTGATATATCCCAATTTTTATGACAAGATGAAGAAATATAGGCCAGAATATAGAATTATCATGTAGCTTTCTAACTGGCTAAACAAGAGCAAAGAAGGGTCAACCCTTAGGTTATTTTTTGCTGCCAAACAAGTTTTTACATATCTAGGCCCTTTGCTAGTTGTAATTTTTATTCAACAACTTAACTGAAAAGCTAGAAAGCTATTATCAGATTTGAAGATGACACAACCTGGGGAAAAATAGCTAATATATTGAATTATAAAGTGCAAGTTTTAAAGAAGGAGAAACCAAAACTCACAATTTTAAAATTAATAGGGATGAATGCAAAATATCTTATTTCACAGGTTGTGAGAGATCTCCCTTCACAGCAGTGAACATTATCAACAATTTTTGATAAAGACGCTTATTTTTCATTGTCATTTGTGGCATGCCGTTAAGAGTTCAGGCTTTGGAGACATTTGCCTAGATTAGAATCCTGGCTCTGCCACTTACTAGGAGTGTGATCGAGGGTATGTTTCTTAAAATCTGTGTTTTATTTTCCTTACCTGGAAGATGAGGATGATATTAGTCACAACTAATATTGTTGGCATTTTTATAAGAATTAAACTCATGTAAGGTACTTAGGGCAATGCCTGGGACATAGTTAGTACTCAATTACTAACTATTATAACAGATTCAACAATGTGATCTGGTTGCTAGAAAGGTAAGACTGAGTACAATTAAAGAAGAGAGCTATCAAGATCAAGGGAAGCTCATGGCCCACTGTGTTCTTTACTGCTGGGATTTTATTCAGTCCTGGGTGTTCCTGATTAAGAAAGGTGTCTCCAACCTGTGGGAAATTGAGTGCTGAAGGTGGTGAAGAGTATAGACTCATGCCAAATGAAGAAAAATTGAATGGACTGGGATAGAGAGAATGAGTTCTTTTTGGAAAAAGACTCAGGAGATGAAATAAAGCTTCCTTGAAACATCTAAAGGGCTGTCATGTGGAAAAGAAATTAGACAGAGTCCCTGTTGCTCTGGAGACAGAACCAGAAGCAAAGAGTAGGAATAAAAGGTAGGGTACAAACGTGTTTTTACTTTCTGTTACTTGCAGAGAGAGGGCAGAAGCCCGGTCTAGCTCTGCCTCTAAATTACTGTAAGATATCAAATTTCTCCACTCTACAAGCCCCAGTTTCATAAACTGTGAAATCAGGGTGTGGGGTATTATGTGCTCTAAAGTGGAAATTAGGATTGGTCTATTAACGGGTTATCTTCCTAGACAGTGGGTTTCCTATTGTTACCATCGTAGCTAGCTAGTTTATTAATATTAATAATAGGAAGGAAGCAAAGGGAAGGCCAGACATGATAAGCATGGTCATCTGGCAGCTTCACCAGGAAGCTACAATTTCACAGCCCCCAGGGAACCACCAGTCTATTCCCTGCAAATCACGGGGGAAAGGGGTCCAATAAAGGGGAAGATGGGTGCATGCGCAATGAAGTTGGAGTGATGTAGGGAAGTTGCTTGCCTGTCAGCCTAACCTAGAGTAAAAGATAATTGGCTAGGGTGTGGAAACACTACAAGCACGTGAAATCTTAAAGGCTTAATTGATTAAGTGCCTACTTATAACTCATACAAAGAGCTCTTGCCCTCTTGTTTGCTCTTTCACTTCTATTTTTCTTGCTTGCTCCATGACCTGCACTTGCCCGCCATGTGGCCATGGGCCATGCAGACCCCACATGCAATGGACTGCAGCTGGGAACACAAGCTAAGCTAGCCAGATGCTGGGCTGGATTGTGCTTTAATATGGAGCTGAAACTCTGGACAGTGACTTTAATCCTATTAAAGATACAGCTGAACTTTTTCCATGGCTAGAAGGAAGGAGATGGGACCTTGGAGAGGAACTCCCCTAATGTCATATCATCAATAAAGCTTTCCATTATACCTCATCCTCCTATGGGGGGGCCTCAGGAAATTCTTGTTCCTGTGGCACCCCAAGAATTCCACTTCTACCAATAACAGATGGGGATACAGTGGGCACCCCACTGATAACACTATCACTGGAAATGTCTAAATTGAGACATATTAGAGTAGATATTATTGTATTTGATTAGGATTTATGTGATCTAAATGGTATCAAAGATCTCTTTTAATTCTAAGATTCTAGGAAAAAATTGCTTATTTATTTATTTACTTATTTATTTTTGTAAAAATAGAAAGTGCTTTATTTCCAGGAATTACAAAAGCTGATGAAATACAGGATGAAGGGAGTGCTACTGTAATCTGGTGTAGCGGAAGGAATGGCCACCTAGTTTCGCTTTCCAACTACAAACACCATGGGGATCTTGTGGTTTAAGGTAAGGCATGATGAGGGCCAATATTAAGTAAAATAAGGCTGACTTGAACACAAGCACTGTGATGCCATGACAGTCCATCTAACAACCCAGATGGCTACCAAGTGACTAAAGGGCAGGTAGCCTATACAGTGGATACTCTGCACCAAGGGTGGGGAACCTTGGGCCATTTGGATATTTATAACATCATTCACGAGCCACACAAAATTATCAATTTAAAAATTAGCCAGCTATATTTGGTAAAATAATGCCTTGGTAGGGCCAGACCAAATGATTTCAAGGGCCTGTGCTGGATGTTCCCCACTGCTGCAAGGGATAAATAAATCAGGTACCAGGTAGGATAGATTGGGGTGGCATACAGTTTAAAACTTATGAACTTTCTATTCCTGGAATTTTCCATTTGAATTTTCAGATCTTGGTTGACTGTTGGTAACCACAGAAAGTGATACTGTGGATAAGCAGGACGGCTGTACTGTGAAATGCTCAGATCTTTAAGTTCATTAGTTTTGACAACTGCATATTAAGATAAAATATTTTCATCAGCCCATTATGTTCCCACATGCCCCCAGTCAATTCCCATAGTTACCCTTCAACTACTGATCGACTTTAGTTTATACCTTAGTTCTATCTATTCTAGAATTTCTTATGAGTGGAATCATGTATGTGCTCTTTTGTACTTTGTTTCTTTTATTGAGTATATTTTAGAGATTCATTTATGTTGTGTGTACCAGTAGTTCATTTGTTTTTATTGCTGAGTAGTTAGTATTCCATTCTTTGAATACACCACAGTTTTAAAAAACTCTTTTTCCCTCTGATGCACATCTGGATTGTCTCCAGATTTTGGCTATTCTGAATAAAATTTCTATGCAAATTCTTATATAAAGCTTTCCATAAACAGACATTTCTATAAACATAGATTTTCATTTCTCTTGGGAAAATATCTGTGAATCGAATTTCTGGGTCATAGGTCAGATGTATGTGTAATTCTGTAAGAAATTGCTATACATTTTCTCAAAGTAGTTGTACCATTATATATTCCACCAGAAAAAGTGAAACTTTGAGTTGTTCCACATCCTTTCCAACATTTGGTGCTGTGTGTGTGTGTGTGTGTGTGTGTGTGTGTATCTCATTATATTTTACTATGTAGGAACCTGATGACTAATGATGTTGACTACTTTTACATGTGCTTATTGGCCATTTGTATAACTTCTTTGTGAGCTGTCTAAGTCCTATGCCCATTTGAAAAATTGAGTTCTTTGTCTTTTTATTATTGATTTATAGGATTTCTTGGTCTGGACATTTGTTAGATATGTGTATTGTGAATATTTTTTCCCAGTCTGTGACATGCCTTTTTACTTTCTTAATAGTGTTTTCAATGAACAGGCACTTTGTAGTTTTGATGTATTAAAATTTTGTCAATGTTTTCCTCTTATGGTTCATGCTTTCTCTGTCCTTTTTGAAAAGTTTTTGCCTACGGCAAGGTTGTAAAGATTTTCTCCTAAGTTTCCCCCCTAACTTTATTATTACATTGTTTTACCTTTACATTTAATTCTCAAATTGATTTTTGTGTATGATGTGAGGGAAGAATGAAGATACTTCTCCCCTCCCCTCTCCTCTCCTCC